GTAGCTATGAAACGATGCTTAAGAAGGGTAAGTTTAGAGGAATCGGTAGCGATAGTTGAAATACCACCGACTACTCTACGTCGCCAATTAGTTCGCAACCGCCTGTATGACCGTCTGTGTGAAACAACAAATTGCGTAATTTGCCCTTACGGCAGGGACGGGGATTGCATGAGTTCAGGTACGATATACCTGATCTCGTGTAACAATTGCGGAGATGAATATATTGGCGAAACGGGCAGACCTTTGTGTATCCGTATAAAAGAACACCTAGATGGCAAACGAAAACTAAGGCGAAGCACCCCACTACGCACACATAGGATACAAAGCATAGCGGAGACGATTTTGAAGTAAAGGTCAATATCCTTCCGCAGGAGTCCAAAACACCAGCGCGAAAACTCCTTGAGGCTTTTTGGATCAATGCCAAAAACCCTACAATGAATAGCAGGGATGAATGCCCGGAGGTCATACGCGACCTGATCCCGTAGGTTNACGGTGATTGCATGAGTTCAGGTACGATATACCTGATCTCTTGTAATAATTGCGGAGATGAATATATTGGCGAAACGGGCAGACCTTTGTGTATCCGTATAAAAGAACACCTAGATGGCAAACGAAAACTAAGGCGAAGCACCCCACTACGCACACATAGGATACAAAGCATAGCGGAGACGATTTTGAAGTAAAGGTCAATATCCTTCCGCAGGAGTCCAAAACACCAGCGCGAAAACTCCTTGAGGCTTTTTGGATCAATGCCAAAAACCCTACAATGAATAGCAGGGACGAATGCCCGGAGGTCATACGCGACCTGATCCCGGTTCGCATCGATTTTTGATGAGGGATGGTGCAGTCGTCAACCACATGCGACTATAATCAGCTGCTCTAAACTTCCTCATTGGAAGTCACGAAAAAGCGGTGGGTTTTTTTTCGAGAAGTTGTTGATCATGTAATTACCAAAGAGCCTTTCGTCTTTGTGTAAGTGTTATTGAAGCGTTTGGCCTAGTAGATTGTATATCAGTATACCCTAACAGGCTCTGAAGAAGGCGATACTGCCGAAACGTCAGCTAGCGTTGTATTGTATTGTGTTTTTATGGAAGTAAATGTATGCTGTTTAAAAACCTCGCGATTGCTGAACAAGAAAACGACACATTCATATTCCAATGCCGAGGTTAAGAGAAAGTTGATCCTGGGAACTATAGTATAATCACTTTTTATTTATTGCCTATTCTTTTTCCATGGCAGAGTATGATGTGAAATATAACCACAATGATGCTGTGATATTTCCAAACTTAGAATCAGGCCAAATTGAACCACGATTACCCTATCCGGAAGCTGGAACGGAATGTTTGTCGTCAAATCTGGGCAGGATTTGATGGTACTGGCGTTACAGGTGAAGACGGGCAACGGGTTGCGAATAGAAGGTGTACTCGCCTGTTGTGCTAGCGGAAACGTACGGAACGCTTGTGTATCTGACACTGAAATGTGCATTGGTGGAACTTGCCAATGGAAGTTCTGTTCACTCACACCCAGAACCACGCTCTGCGTATTGTTTGAGATTTCCGCACAGGTATGTGGTTATTTGCTTCCTTTTTTGACGAAATTTTTAGCACAAATATTTTATACAAGAAGTGTGCTGAAAAATGCTCAGCATTTTGTGCCGCAACGGTGAACATCTCGTGAATTTATGAATCAAATTTTTTTAAAGTGCGGATAGTCGTGTTAGTGAAAATTGAAAACTATGGTGAAAGAGGAGCGTGTGGCGTAGTGGTCGGAGGCGCTTTGCAGTACACCTGCGATCGATCGCTATGCCCCAGGTTCACCAAGCACTTTATCCCTCAGGGGTCGGCAAATTGGTAGCAGACTTGTCTGGGAGGATAGGAGCACTAGCTCGAGGTTCGATACATCGGAAGCCCACCGCGAGTCATTGTAACGGCCAGATATGCATTCACTCACCTCCAACCATGCTTAGTGAAGTCGAACGCATCCCTCAGCGATTGACTAACGCCGAGAGCTCCATTATTCATCAGCTTTCTATTCATATGATCCACGTAATGACTGGAATCTGTTTCAGCATGGATCTGCAATAGCACAAGGAGCTCGAGGAGTTGTGCAGTTCGTCACACAGTATCAGCATGCAGATGGCAGGAAGCGAATCCGCGTCACGACCACTTGCCGTTCGTGGGCTGACATGGCCACACAGCAACCAAATATCGCCTACAGCTTTGATCAGGTTCATATTTCAAAGGTTTAGCAGTTTTGATTATTTAGGAAACTTTTTGAACTGCCTTCAGTTATTGGGTTCACGAAAATGCCTATTTAATTAGAAACGTGCACAAGCTGAGACTCGCATGTTGTATAGTTCTCAACCCTTCTTCCGTTCGTTCCGTTTTTTTCAACTGTAGTCCATGGACGTGGTCGTGTAACGAACCCACTGGCCCATTTTCTGAGTGGTCTTTATCAAAGTAGTTTTAATTCTCTTCAGAACCACTCTGCCTTACATCCGCCAGGAGAGTTTATTATGTGATCGACCAGACCAGTTGATGTTTATCTATTTATTTCGGGATCAGCGAGCCAATTAGCGGTATCTATTAGAGGCGTGAGTGAGAGCCATGCTAGTAGTTGCCTTCTATCAGCTCCTCCGAAGTCGTTGTTCACATTCGTGGAACGTCCTAGGTATATATAAAATCTGGCTTCCTAAGTTCTTGAGCCGTTTCCTTCTAAATCAGGCTTTATTCATGCATTACTGGTTTTTTCTTCGTTTGTTTCATAACCTAGTACTTTTCCCTCTTGCGTTGAGTTCAATAAGCATTGTCTCTCTTTCTGCAGTGGTGTTCGAAAAAGGCCAGTTCGTCGGCGAAGCGAAAGAAGAGAGTATTAAATCGTAGGTTCATAGGTTATACATTCCACTAATTCATAGATTACCACTGTTCTGGAAAATACTTCAAATGCTGATAATTCCTTCGAGCATACTATAGGAAGGGCGCGTGTGGCGCAGTGATCGGAGACGCCCTACAACACATGTGGAATCGATCCCAGCACCCATGGTCCACCAAGGCTTCCATCGCTCCGGAGTCCGCAAATTGAAACCAGATTTCCTTGGAAGGATAGCGGCATTGGCTCGATACATCGGTAGGCCACTGCTAGTCATTGTGAAGGCCAGATATGCATTCAGTCACCTCCAAACGATGGCTGATGAAGTCGAATGCATGGCGCATCCCTCAGAAATTGAGCAACGCCGGGAGCTTTATCCTTTAAACTGTAGGACTCCTGAGTTGTCTCGTGGTGATCCACGTCTTAATCAAACCAAATTAAGATTTTGGAATAGCGGTGTTCATCAGCACGTGTATTTAGGTCACCAATTTCTTATTACCATTAGGAATGAGTATAGTTTGCTGTGAGAATAACATTCGAGTCCTATGAAACGCGTCCTTAATTTTGTCGCCTCTACACTTCCGTTATAAGAAATTTAAAAATTTGAAAGTAGGAAAGTTAAAATATTAGGAGGAAAATGTAAAGAAAATTCTGTACACTTGTTGCTTGAAGAAGAGGATTCAGAGAGGGGAAAACGGTTTAATAAATATAGGTTACACAAGCACAGTAACACTTGTAGGACTGTGTAGGACTTGTTCAGAAACTTAAACGAAATCATGCTCATTGTTTGAACTAATTTCTATTTTGGGTAGTATATACGATGCTTTCCAGGAAGCTCAAAAGTTATTCAGATGAAAGAATCAGTCCACCGTTTGCTTCATGCGAACTGATAAGTAATGCACTAGATTTTTTTAAACTGTTCGTTAAATTAACTCTTAATGGCGCCTTAAGTTGATGATGTTATGTTTTTACAGTATGAAAAAGAGAAACCGTGTATCATATCTGTCATATACTGTGTAATTGTTGTTTAGGAAAAATAAACGTATATTTGTTGCTTAGGAGGTATTAAACTACCAAACTGATTCCAGGAAGCTGGTGCTGTAGCGATGGCGCGTTTAGCATCATGGAGGGCTGCCAGTGAGAACGATACTCCGGATGCGCTAAGATGGCTTGATCGAACATTGATTAGACTGGTGAGTCCATTGAGTTTTATGAACTGCTTTTCTTGTTTCTGTCGTTGTGATAAGCTCTAGTTTCAGTGTCAAAAATTTGGTGAGTACGTTAAGGATGATCCCAACTCGTTCCGCCTCTCGGACAAATTTTCGCTATTTCCACAGTTTATGTTTCATTTAAGAAGATCTCAATTCTTGCAAGTTTTTAACAACTCCCCCGATGAAACCGTATATTACAGGTGGACGTATTCTTGATATCATTTAGTTTTAATTAGTGCTAGTTTTATATTTTACAGTGTTTTTTGGACGATTCATAAAGTTTCCAGTTGTTTGCTTCTTTAGAAAGACTTTTGTCTTCTAAATATAAAGCGGTGTTTACAAAGTTATGTTTCTAACTTGACATTTCTATCTGAATATCCGACTTTTATGTAGTTTCAATGTTTCGTTTTCTTAAATTTTTGACGTTTACCGTTCAGTGGTAAGGTAGTGTGTTACCATCGGTTATATACTTTTTCTCTTTTGCTTTCTATTCCTTTTTTTCAGGCATATCCTATTCATGGAAAATGTGCTTGAGAGTACAACAATGATTCAACCTGTGTTATTCAGTTATTCTTTTAGGTGAGTTATGCGGGTTGAACAGCATTTCTTCGTAACACACTGTAGTTTTTTTTTGTCAAATGGCTCAAAGAACTAGTGTTATTTAAATACTAGTATTTTGATGTTAAGAATAATATAGGAACTGTTCTAGAGAGGTCCATTTAGGAAAAGGCATACTTTGCAACTATTGTTACATTTCCTTTTGCTTGAAATGTTTAAAATGTTCCATACAACCCAATAGATAATTATGGGTTATTACGTAGAAAGTTGAAAATCAGTGTTTAAGTATTCTTGAAAGAAGCTGATCTTTTATTTAATTGTACTTCGAAATATTTTTTCTAACATTTTGTTGTTGTTCTGTGATTTTTTTTTGCAAAAGTATGAGGAATGTGTGGAAATTTTGATTGGTTTTTGATTGATTTTTTAGCGAGATTTTGATTGGGCTTCGGTTATAGCGGAGAAGTGATTCTTTTCTCTAGTTGCTTTTTCTAGCGGACCACCAGAACCAGTTTTACTTGACACTTCCTCTATATTGCCTGACAGAATTCTTCTCATGGATGACTACTTCCATGTGTTAATCTACCATGGGCAGGTATGTAGATAGCTTTACTTCTGCATTTTCTATCTATTCATAAATTCGCTGCGTTTTAACGATACATTGCCAACATTAATGAAAATGTTTATTCCATCCAGGTTTATTTTATTATCCATGCATAGTTTCCCTTCGGAGAGCACATTAACGTAATAATGTGCTAATGTTCTTTTGTTCCAGTTTACTTAAATCGAGCCGGATATCGCTGCAATTTTGGATATCCGTATAGTGGGGTTTTACTTACTTACTTACATACTTACTTGGATACTTCCATGACCATCTTTTACTGGTTGTGCGGCCGCCGGCATAATGTCCATTTGAATTTTGCTGCTTGCTTGTTGTTGCTGGTCTAGCTATTATGGTTCTCTGAAGTCCCGAGATCAGCTAGGCCAAAGTCTGCCTCATGTCGTCCGTCACCACCACATGCAGTCGCTGCCAATTTGGACGAGAGAGAAATTTGCCACCATGCGACTAGTTTGATACCAGGACAGTGGTGGATCCCGACATTGATTTAATATTAGCTGAGCTTCCTGATGGAAACGCCGCACTCCTTCTCAGCTTGTGAGACCCTGCTGGTGGATTTACTCCATTTACTCCCACCCGCTGTATATCGCAGCCTGACATCCAGGAACACTTCCCAACCACGATGAGGCGGTAAACCGTTGGCAGGAATGGTGTTTCACTTCCCTACGTATTTCGCAATTGTGGACGACCGTGGATGCTTATGAGCTCTAGAGTCACTGTTCTATGTCTGATATGTGGAAATGTTAATCAGCGTATTTTTCCTTGTAGGGTATCCCAATTTTCGGATTTTCATGTATAGATTGAAGTTTTTCTGTGTTCCATTTATATTTGCAAGGAAAGCGTTTTCAGACGATTGCCACTTGGAAAAGGATGAATTATCACGAGGATCCGCAATACGCTACTTTCAAGCAGTTGTTGGAGGCACCAGTAAGTGATGCCACTGCTATTCTTCAGGAAAGGTGGCCAATGCCTCGATATATAGTAACGGAATATGAGGGATCTCAGGTGTGTGTTCTTTTCCGAATATGATTTATTGAGAACGTAGAAAACCTTACTTGGAAATCGTTTTAGGCTCGGTTTTTGCTGTCGAAAGTAAACCCATCACTAACGCATAACAACCCATACGCCTCGGTTAGTTTGTTTTCAAACTTTCTGTTTGTGGTATGATATAAATTTATGCCAGTTTAGTGAATAAAAGAGATAATACTTGGAAAAGTTGCGAATTGGTCCACTTTCACGGAAGGTTGAAACAGGATCGATAGGTGCTTGTTCATACGAGGCACTGTTGCAATGATGGAGTGAACAGTTCGCGATCGATTCTGTCTATATAATGTTCAAAGAATTCCTCATTTCCAGTGATAATTTGTCTTACTGCTTCTATGAAGTCAACCAAGAATAGTGTAGAAAAAGACTGAAAATAACTAGAAGTTATATCTTATACTAATTCATTCCTTCTATAGTCTTATATGAGTAAACGTGGTTTAGTTGCTTTTCTAGCTCTGTAAGGTAAAGAAGTAAGACTACTTGCTAGCTAGGCGAAGATAAATGCGTCTTTAGCAATATTTTCATAGCCTTATTTATGGTAAGTTGTGAATGAACTAGGTCATATTACCTTGGTTCACCTCAAATCTTTCGTTTTTCTGCAGGAAGGAGGCGCTCCGGTATTCACAGATGACGTGTCGCTGCAGGTGTTCGTGGAGCATCTCAAAAAGCTAGCCTCTTCTTCATCTACGTAGTTGACTTGTGTTGAAACGTTGAGCTGTTGCGAGCCTCCGACTTATCTTTCCCTTGATACAGTTCTTTACACATATGATTCCATGCTATTTTTAGGATGTGAATTTGAGTGCGTGGTGTAAAAAGGATGTTATGCAGATTTGATTTAGTGGTAGATAATGGCTAATTTATAAGATTAATTTATTGATGTTATATGTTTTTGCGATCTGGGATAAATCGAATGTTCTTCATCGAGAATTCTGTTTTTTGATGGTTTCGGTCCTAATACATATTTGACCGCGTCTAATTCTGTAAGCGGCCGAATGGGACGGTGTTCATTTTTTGCCTGGAGTGGTGTACATTGGACTCAATGCTTGTGGTGAGCTATGAGTAATCACGGCGAGGTGAATGAGAAGGAAGCGATGAACTATTGGGGAAAAACCGAGTTTTGAAAACCTAGATCATTTCCATAACAGAGTAAGTGAGCTTTACTTTGCTCGATTGTGGAGCGATGAGGGAGACATTGAAAGAAAAGTAAGTACTCTCATGTGGTTCCGATGAAGTGTCTGGAAGCTGAAGAAAATTAAACACGATGAAGTAGATAGATGGTGGAGATCATAGTGATGGAAAATGGTGGATTTTTAACGAAAGTTAGTTTGGGGTCGGTCAAGTGCTTGTGCTTATTACAAGAAGTCTTTTTGGAATCCTTGTGGCAAGAATAGTTGAAAAGCCATCGATCTGCATTCGTTTAGCCCTCCATTCAGTGAGTAATTGACAAAACGGTTGTTCAAGATCAATCCACTCATTAGTCTTATCATTTGCAATTACAAGAGAATACAAGTGTAAAGGCATCCCAACAGTTTACCGCCTCATCGCGACTGGGAGGTCTTCCTGGCTACCGGACTACCGGGGAATTCATCCCCTGGCAGGGTTTTCCAAGCTGAGAAGGAGTCCGGCGTTTCCATCAGGAAGCCTGGCTAGGAGTAAACCAATACCAGGATCCACCACCGTCTTGGCGTCAAAGTCGCATGGTGATAAATCTCCCTCTGATCCACAAGTGCTGCGACTGCCTGTCGTTGTGACGACCTGGAGTAGACTTTGGATAGGCTGTCTTCGGGATTCCAGGGAACCACAATGGCTTAACCAGAAAATCTCCGAAAACTGGAGGTTGTGCTGGAGCCCGCACAACCAGTGAGGATGGGCCATCCACGTATCCAGGTAGTGTGCCTATGAGCTCAATGCTCCCAACATACGCGTGGGTATCGGTGCATAGAGAAAAAGATATGTTAAGGATATAGAGATATATAAAGAAGTTTCCAAACTTTGGGCTGTTTATCAACCTCGTATAAGTTTATCAAAGAAATAATGTGTTGATTACCGATATTAAATGACAGTCGGTTTTAAAATGCAGAAATAGAACATTTGTTACAAAAACTGTTACAGCATTATGCCGATATTGTAAACCCCTCTTGAATAGATTTATTTAACAAACTAAAACTTTTACAAGTTACAGTTCTCGTGCGCTACCTGAAATTTTTACAGCTTTAACTCTATACGCCTACCATTTTTTACTGTAGTTTACATTTATTGTAGTCCACGTCCTTTAAAACAGGTAGATTCCTGCGTCTCCAAAACTTGCTTGCTCAAGCTTGTAGCATTTACCAATGATTTCCATAGCACATAGTGTGGGTGAACGTTATTGAAAAATCGGCAGGACATAATTTTTTTACGATCCGTCTTTCACACCTACTTTACGGATCCCAACACTTCCGACAATCGATTCCTTTCCTCGTATGCATCATCCACGAAGGTCTTCGAACTTTTACGTGTAGCTTCTGCTGCTACTTGACGATTTTCATTTCATCTCGAATGTCGAACAATGCTGGTTGTCGACAAGTCGACCAATAAACAATAATAATTGCATTATTCTGCTTGCTATTGCTGATAGGACTCACCTATGTCTGCATCTCAACCTCCATAGCAGTATCGTTTCGTCTATATTCAAACTCATGGCCAGACTGATAATATTTCTTTTCTGGTTAATATTTAATGTGCGTGACTGGTGTAGCAGACTATTTATCCATGACAAAGGAGCCAAAAGCCATGGCGAAATTAACAAAGCTGGGCCGGAGTGTTGACAAGTCGACCAATAAACGTTATCTAATAGAAAATAACGTTCTCTATTGTAACTTTATTCCTTATGTGTTTTGATGGTGCCGAATTCCCTACATTCATATCCCATTCCAACTATCGGGCACGCCAGAAAATATAGCAACTATATCTATCAGATGTTTTTCTTTAATAAGCAGACATGAGTTGGTCATTATAGAATTTAGTAGGATTCAATAGCTGACGTTTCGGTTGTTTCGTCGTCTTCAGAGCCTGGAAAGGTCAAATTGGGATGCGATCTGCTCAGTCAAACACTTTCATAACCCCAGCAGATAAAACTTAACAAATAAATTTGCATTCTTATAAGAAACAGCTTCATTTAAACACCTACCGTTCATTTGTTGTAAGTATTTAAGTTAGTTGATGGATAACAGCCGCACAGAGTAATACATGGGCGATAACTGTGTGGCAGGCCATTGGATTAGTTTGAGGTATGGCACTAGGTCACGCGTGATGACAAGAGCCTCCTCCTTGCGGTCCATTTTTGAATTTTTGGAATTGATCCAAAATGCCTCAAGAGTTTTACGCCCTGATGTTTTCGATTCGTGCATGAGAATAGTGACTCCCGCTTGAAAATCTTCTCCGTTGTGTTCCTGCATCCTATGCGCGCCTAGTAGAGTGTTTGGTTTTAATTTAGATTTACCGACTAGGTGTTCATTTATGCGGACGCAGAGTGGTCTACCCGTTTCGCCAATGTATTCGTCCCCGCACGTTTTACAAGAGATCAGATAGACTGTACCCGAACTAATGCAATCACCGTCTCTACCATTTGGGCACATTATGCAGTTTTTGTTGTACATAGACGGTCATATAGGCGGTTGCTAACTAGCTGGCGTCTTAGTGTTCGATGCTATTTCTATCACTCTTACGGAAATCTCTAGACCGGCCCTTGTTAAGCAACGTTTTATGGCTGCACTTACTTCGTTCGAAATAAAGGGAAGAGGAACAGAGCCTTGTTTTCGCTAGAATTATAGATCTGGGGCGTGGGTTTTCCTCTATGTCAATGCCGAGAAGCTACAGTTTCGTACCCATTTGAAATGGCTGTTTGGCGAGCCAGTTTCGAAGATTCTTCCCTCTGCTCTCTACCTGTGCATAAGCTGGTGGCGGTTCGAAACATATTTCACATTTTATAAGCACTCTTTCAGTGTGTGAGAGATGAGAGGAGAGGTAATGAACCGTTATATTCCTACTGCTTGGCTTTCGATACCATTGTGTGATGTAGCCATTTTCGGATAGGTTGATTTAAACGTTTAGAAAAGGGAGCCTTTCTTTCTATTTCTCACAGGTGAATTTTAGGTGCTCTGACTGTTCGTTCAATAACTCAAAGCATTTGTTCATCTCCTCTTGTGTGGAGCATTTGGCAAAACAATCATCTATATACCTACAGTAGAGTAATGGTCTGAGATCGATTACTGGTGCTTCCACTTTAGACATAAAGGCAACAGCAAGGGTTGCTGCCGGTCGCTGTCCCATTGCCAACCCTCTAATTTGCGTGTAATATTTCCCGGACCATCTAATGATCGAGCAGCTTAAACAGACCTTTAAGAGGACCATAAGTTGCTGAATCGGAAAGCTATACATGTTAATTGCTCATTCGTGTTGCTCAAGAAGCTCGCGGATGGCTTGCCTTGCGGAATCGTTCGAAACAGTACGCGCTTTTGGAACATGCGTTACTCAGACGGTCTAGGAACATTTGGGTGTTCGTGAGATGGGCTGGTATGTGCTTAAGCAACTAGTGAGGATTAGATTTATAAACCAAGCAATTCTATCCGTAGGTCCGTCTACACAGCTGATAATATAACTATCAGATACACCACCGGGCATAATACCAGGCACGACGCCTTGCTAAGGGGCAAGACCTTGCGAGCCGTGGCGTGATCTCGCGACCCACTCCACTCGCTCGGATCTAGCCACGCCTCCTATCACGGCCATTTGCCTTCTGACGACACGTGGATGTCGCCGTCGTTTTTCTTTCATCACCCTTTCTCCAGCTTAATCTACTTCTTTCGCAACTGATTCCGTTTGATTAGGTGGAAATATTGTTAAATAAAGACTCATGCTCTTGCTTCACCAATCTCGGCTTGCTGTAGCCGTGCACCTCTTGGCTAAGTATCACGGCATCAACGTGTGCCTATGTCTCGTCGTACTGAACGTGAATTACATAGTATTATTCCTTCTTGGACCGTGTTAAACCTTAATAACACGGCTACAAGCCATAATGTTTGCTCATCATCTAATTGGCTTGATTGTGATCTATTTTACAGCTTATATCTAATGCTTGTATATCCAATGCATCATGACTCGTTCTTGGTCACGGCAACTTTTCAAACAGGTACAACTTACGTATTAACCCCTTATTCTCATGCTGTTAAACTGAACAATTGTATTCATAAATTTGTCACTGCACATCCTTGCAATGTCAGCTATATTAGGTTACTCTCTTAAGCTTCATAAGAGCTTAATCTCCTAAGCGCTCACTTCAGTACCATATAATCTTCACACATCTTTCGCTTCGCTTATAGCGTATTAGTCTCTCGTTGAACCTTTTTATATCAACCACCTTACTTGCAATTTATTATATATGCATTTCTAGTCTAATTACGTTATCATGTAAATACTATGCGTACAAGCAGTTTAATTACCCAAGATTGAGGTGTCCGGCATTGTGGTTACTAATCACGAAACGTCCCGCGTGGCACAGGCAAAGGCGAGCAGCTAATCCGACAGAATCTTCTTAACCACTTGGTATTCATATATCAGCGGGCCGTCCCAACATTGGTCAAGTCTATTCCTATTAAAGTCCTGAGATAGTCGAGCTAGAGCGTTGTCAATTGGATTAGAGGGATTCTTTTTCGCAAAGGACAAGATCTGTGCCAATTTTTCAACCTCAGAGAGATGAGAACCCTGGTCTGGGGAAGCCAAAGACGTCGAAACGCTAGCCGAATAACGTTTATTTCATCAACCTAGTGTTAGCTTGCCAGAGAAACAATGCGTATTGATTAGTCATACCAAGGTTAAAGAGAAGTCGGTTTTTGAAGCATGCAACTTAACTGTTTCTACCAAGTCATTCAGAGCCTACAAGCGAATTTCCTTTGTTGAAGTTTGCTTTTCGAGCAGTAAAGCGATTGAGCAACAACTATCTCCTCCTGAAGGTCTTGACGGCTATCGACGTTTGTGTTTGCCACAATTGCGTTTACAATCCTTGGCCTTTGAGACTGTATTTCAGTGCTGTGGATATTTCGATTATATCAAATTGCCAAAATTTCTTAAGTGATTTTTGATACGTCGGAAAAGGAGGAAAAGATGAGAAAAAAAAGAAAAAGGAAGAAATTTGGAAAAAATCTGTTGCATGCATACGTGCCAGGCTGGGATGTTATCAAAGAGTCACCGTTCTTCATTATATATTGGAAAGTTCAACTTCTAACTGGTAGATGGTTGTTAATTCATTTCCCAGCACTACAATGGACTATTACTATTGTATGGAATTCACCAACATAAAAAATACCGAGACATATTCCATATGTTGTAATCTCGGCTGCTAAGTGCTGTCGGCGCGGTAGTTGGATTATTAGCCAGTTTTTTCCAAATAATTAGAGAACAGAACAATATATAGAACTACGTAACGCAGAGATTTTTAAGAAATACTAAAATATCTAAAAGAAATTCATTGAGAACTGCATTTTAGGGCGAAAACACAATAAAAAGGTGGAATGACTTACTAGGGAAGGTCGACCAGTACAAGTTGATTTCAGTCCACAATGAGTGGTGAAAAATTAGGACTGGAATACATGTACAGCTACAAGAGATTAGGCACTAGACACTATGTGTTAATAACAGAACAAGTTCGAGATTCGAGTAGCTAGAAACGGCTCAAAGTGCTCGGGTTGCTTCTAAAATCCAGGAATCACACAATATGCTTCTAGAGTGCTGAGTACGATATATGACAACCACACGAATAGGAAAATCATTGAGCTGATGTATTTTATCCGAGTGGGACCACCTAATTCGCCAGAGATGGATTTGTTGTGCCTAAAAGGACTAGTAAGTTAAAACAAATGCAGGAAGCGAAGAGCCACCATAGTGAATTAGATTATGGTTATAGTTCTATGGATAAAACCCAGATAAGCTTTGGGTAAAGTGGGATAGTGGCCACTACAAAAATTGCAAAGTAAAGAATGAGAAAATAATGGCTAAACGTGGACATGAAATGAGCTTACACATTCAGTACTCTGAAAAACTTCAAGGCGGTCATCCGTTTGCAACTAGAACTTTCAAAGAGAGGCTAATGTTGGATAATCAGAGGTAATCAAAGCAGCATTCGCTGGGAGGTAATTTTTAGAGCGACTAGTCAAAAGCTTGCACCTCGGAACGATCAGGCAAAGAGCAGTTGTGTAGTGACGTAGTGATAAATGATAGGGATGAGTTGCTATCCACTAGTTATGAAGAACAGACAAAAAACGGAGACAAATTAGATTATGCTATAGTTTTGGAACATGCAGAATTTTTGATTAAAGTGTTCTGAGCTTCCTTCTTTTTAGATTGTTGTAGATTAGAAATAATTCAAAGAAAAGTAGTTGGAAGGCTATTAAGCTCACCGCAAAATATTAGGTTTTTTTCTCAAACAGGTAGGTGTGTCTAATTAGACCAGCTATCACCGCACTTCTATCACTAATGGGTTCCTCCATCTAAATATATAAGCAAGAAGAATACACTCGAACAGAAAGGCACCTTCTGAATTGAAGAACAGCAGTACAGACGATTGAACCGATGATGAACATCGTCACCGAGAAGGCTAGTGAACCCGCGTTCACGCTGAAAAACATACATTGATGTTGAAATAGTGTTTCATTTCAAATATGGTGCCAAAGATATTTGTGAAAATGTTCTGCTTAGTAAAAGCAGTAAATGAAATGCTTTCGAAGGTCGATGACTTAATTGGAAAAACAGTGCTTTCCCACTCTTTCTCAGGGCTTCGTTAAGGATGATACAACAATTCTTTAGTGTTTGAGTGCTTTTTTGAGAAATAGACAAACATTCAGTGAAACATGGACTAACATGAATCGGGTTCCGTTCCAAGCATGTGCACACGCGGCGATTGCCCATGAAATTCCAATACCCAGAAAGACGTTGACGGCATTTGAACCCGTTACGTTCCCTGTAACGTAGTTCATTACTGAACATCTTATCCCGAGTCTACCGATTAGGGATAAGCAAGAGGAAGGGCAAGGACAATATATTTCTTTCCCACGATTTTCCATCTTCCGTATTTAAAAAGAAAAACAAAGTAACAAAGAAGCCAAACAATCACCCACCGATAGAACTGTCCGCCCATTTGTCCTGAACAGCGGCTGTCCGCGACGCGAACATATCTGAAAAGGAAGCAGAGCATGAAAACGAGGTGGATAATGCCGATGAAATAAAAATGTATGAAGAAAGAACAGCTAAGTGAAGCGACGGTAGATGATATTGATAGCTGGAGAATGTGGGAATGTGGGAATAGTGAAGCTCAAAATTTCACGCTTGTTTGCTTTGACATTTTCATTTTGCTCATCGGGAATATTTGCTTTGAGAACTCAGAATTAAACTGCTGTTATCGAGCTCTGACTAGCCATGACAGAGAACGATAGGCTTTTTTGATTTCTTTTTATTGAGTTCACGGAAAAATTCTAATTCGAACCTCTTAAAAACCGCATAATTTCCCACATTCGAAGAAGAAATGAAAACTTGTGGAAAGGAAGTGTGCATAATTTTTATCCTAACAATTGATGCCTATTTTCTTACCAGGCAGGCTGGTTCCCATCGCTACAAGAGTGATGGCAGTTGTTGTGTCCTTCATTCCCACAGTGCAACCGAAATGCGATGCCAAATCGCCAATGATGGCCGTTAGTATACCGATCATTACAATAGCAACGAGAAAAGATAACCACCCTGCAAAAAAAATTTCGTGATTTGAAAGCTTTCCTTTCTCTTTATCCACATCTTTTTCTTACGTTAACACGCAGCGCTCCGTATGAGGCACATATGACTCATTAGCACTTAAAATTCTAATTGAGCTCTTCAATTTTCAACAAGAATATATAAATTTATGCTAAGGTCCGCCTTTTTAAATAAGGCGACTTCATTCTGATGCAGACCTTTGCAAACCATCTTACTCTGTAGTGATGGAACTATAACTTTACGAAACCCACAAAACGTCTCTCTCTCCACTTTTTAGTTTCTGTAGGGTCGTATTTAGAACATCAAAGCAAATGAGTAAAAAATATCAGGTAAGGAGTATAAAAATTACTTGCCTTTATAATAGTCAGTTGGCGGGACTAACGAAAACAAAAGCTTCCACGGTAGCGCAATATAGTGCATGCACTTCGCTTTCCAAGTTATCCTTCCGTCGTCATCTGAATGGCAAAGTGGTAAAGCACAGCTGAAAGGCGTAAACGTTGAGATGCTATGCCTACCCAAACATGCTTTGGTAACAATGCACGCGCGGGTGATTCTCGTGTAAAGAAACGGGGCAATACAATAAATAGAGCATTGTCTGAATGTGTGCGTTTAACAGAGATATTTGGATATCTATAAAAGTATATCGATTGATACTGCTAGGAGAAAAGAAGGATTTATCGATACTCGGCGGCAAAGAAAAGATTACGTCGCCTGCAGAGTATTTATTTTCCATTCTCTATTGGTGAGAAAAAAGTAAAATTTAAAAAACGCTGGAGGCTTCAGTACGTTGCATTAGTTTGTGCTTCTAAATTTTGACAACTCCAGTACAGAGCAGTTTTTATCCCCAGTTTAAAAACTACCCAAAGAAAGAATACATATTGATTAGTGATACCGAGGTTCAAGGAAAGTCGGTTTCGAAATACTACTAAAAGAGTTGGTGCGTCTAATGCAGAGAAACAGTGCATGTCACTAGTAGCAATTGCTTATCGACGCCTTCGTATGTCGACGAAATGGTGCAGTGTGTGTGTGCCGATGCATCGCACACACAATGGAGGTTCAAATCCACGTCAGTCGTGTGAAGAGCAAAGTTATCCCTGTCTGATGAATATTGAGGATGAATGTAGTTTCTGACGACTTATTATTAAATTACTTTTGCAGCTAAATGGCTTACATTTTATAAGCTGCCAATGCATGCCCACTGACAATGGTGATGTTTTGGCACAAGAAACTTCTTGGATGTGAAGTTATCCGAGAAACTGGTTAATTTGGGATGGATGTATTTTTTCTTTAATCTGAACAGAATTTAGTATGAGGAAGTGATGGAGGGTGGACAACAAAATGACGATAGTGAGGGATTCACGAATGAGATGGAATTACGTAAATACCACCTACAGGACCTTTCAGAAATTATTACTTTAACGTCATTCGCTATTTTCTTCGAATAGACTGACCTCCTATAATGGTGATAGCTTCGTTGAACTGCTGCTTCCAAGAACTCGTACCGATCATGATCGAAGTGTTGGCGTTGACGAGCATTCGGTTAATGAAATTCTTGAAATCTTTGTCTTCGGTGATTACCACCTTACAGCGATAAAGTGACAGTACTGGCCGGCCATCATTTCCTTCCTTCTAAATATATTTAAAGATATTATAGGTGTTACAGATAAAACTTTTCTATTCATATATTTGAGAAGTGTTAAAAACGCTGAAATTAGGAAACTCAACCCTATAAAATTAGAACTAGATAAATTTGGTCACACGCTGCTCAGGAAAGTTCATAGAAAATCGTGGACTAGAGTGGAGACGCAAAACTATTGATGGGATTCATAAAGGTAATATTGCAACCATATTTATTATTTCCGACAAATCTTGTCTCTGATTTTTTCAAAAGGTGTATATTTTAGGATGGAGGAACTCTCACTTCAGTGGTTAATGTTCATGAAGGCCATGGCATACCCTTAAGATGGCTTCGTAACCTGAGAATATGGTATGACTCATTTCGTCCAAATCCGATGAATGTTTTGACCACTTTCATCGAGCTAGCAGCTAGTTAAGAGGCAAGCAGAATGAATTGTAACCGTTGTGCAGTTACAAATCTTCACGTCTGTTTGTGTGTAAAACGTTGAAAAAAGAGTTGATAAATCTTTTTTGGCATTGGTTTCTACTCGGAATTTTTGTTAAGTCCGAAAACTCATGCTCATTAACGGATGAAATTTGCTTCTATTTTTTCTATTTTTTTAAAATTACAATTAAAGGTGAGTTATATTTGAATAATATGCAGTATTCCATAAATGGATAGACGTTCTTAGAATTTACCGTCTTTTCACTATCAGTGCCCCAGATCGGTTCTCCCAACTCAATGTAGAAATCCTCACTCTTTTCATATTCATCGTCGTTGATGATTGGAATGCGAATCTCCGCCCTAGATCAGAAAGTACTTTTTCTAAGTGTGTAAGCACGCAAAGAAAATTACTTTATTTGTTCCTCGCCGAATCGTAGAACTCCTTCGCGGTGCACGTAATCCTTGCCGGCCGTAGCAAGACCGTCTACGGTTTTGTAAGGAATCAGTACCTCTCCACGAGCACCTCTTGTACGAAGAACCTGCAACTGACTATTCTAACTCCTACACAACAAGATATGCTTTAAATCCAATGCCTTGTGTGGTGTGTGTTAATGTAAATGTTTTGAGTAGGGCTTCAAAATCGACTTGGAGTTAAACAAAGCCCGAAGATGCTAAGTAAAACAAAACTTGGCAACAAATGTAAATGCTCGCTGAAGCTCTAGCACGGCTACCTCGAGATCTCAAGGGAAATTACAGTCTACCGCCATTCATTGAGAAAATGAAAAGAGAGTGAAAGGGATATCCACGTAATACCTGAGACTATACACAAGTATGACAACATACATGGATAACAGACTAAAGGGAATGAAACGAAAAGAATTGGCTTTGAAACTTTCACGACATGCGGAAAAGAGGCATCTAACTATTTGGATAAGTACTATCATATTCGGTATTGGGAAGAAATTGTTATAAATTGGGGTGTATTCGTTTGAAACTTGAGAGCCAAATAATTTCTAGGCAGTAAATACGATCTAAACGGTAGTGGTACAGTGATGAAGATATCGTTCTATAGACACGAGCTACTGGCTTTTTCCGCACTGTAATGAGATGTGTCCACCAAGTGTTTTATTCCTTCGAGGTAGGAAAATTGATATCAGGATGTTCTCGGAGAAGCTTTCTTCTATTCATAAACGTTGCTGACCGTCTGTGGTGGATGCTTTAACCTTCCATCACTATCCCAGGTTGGCAGAACGAATTGACTCGAATAGCATTTAACGACGTTCACAGCAGGGGATCAAAAATCCTCAAGGAACATCTTAACCCATACTAAAACAATAAGACCTGCTTATGTAGCGATCAGGTTTCTGTCGCACAATTTATGGGAAGGGAATCATGGAATCGAGGATTTGGCCAAGGAATTGGGTGTTCTTTGTTCTATTCACTACATCCTCGGTGCTCTTTAAGGCTTCCTAAGCCATTCGTTTCCTTCTGCTCAACTCTGGAGCTAAGTCTGTTGATTCTGGAACATGTTGATTTTCCTACCTAGATAGACGTGGCTGGAGCATTCAAAGATATTCGTTCCGTTGAGCGTGAATGGTGCATGCGGAACGAATCCGTTCTTCATGAACACCGTTTTTGTGAGATTTAGTCGAAGACCAATCTTTTCACAGGTTTTATCAAAATCGGCAAGCATTCGTTTCGCTAGCCTAATATTTGGTGTCATAAAAACGATGTCATCAGTAAAGCGAAGATGGTGTAATTACCGACCATCGACTTTCACTTCTATGTTGTCTCATCCCAATAATCGCACGACGTTCTCGTGGATATCAGCAAATAGTAATTCCCATGACCGACTTTCTGTTAACCTCGGCATTAATTGATAATTCAATGTTTTTCATCAATAAGCAGACAACGAGGTTGTTAATATAGAATTTATTAGAACACAATTGCTGACGTTTCGGCGGTTTCGCCTTCTTCAGAGCCTGGAAAGGTCAAATTGAGATGCGATCTACTCAGCCAAACACTTTCATAACCCTAGCAGATAAAACTTGATAAATCGATTTGTGTTCGCATAAGAAACAGCTTCATTCAAACACCTACCGTTTATTTGTCGTAAGTATTTAAGTTAGTTGGTGGATAGCCGCCGCACGGAGTAATACATGGTCGATAACTGGGTCCATGTCAGATCATTGGATCAGCCTGAGGTAGATTTTGAGGTAGGAGTCACTATCCTTACGCAGGAATCGAAAACATCAGCGCGAAAAACTCTTGAAGCGTTTTGGATCAATGCCAAAAATTCAAAAATGAACCGCAAGGAGGAGTGTCTTGTCATCACGCGTGACCTAGCGCCATACCTCAGGCTGATCCAATGATCTGACATGGACCCAGTTATCGACCATGTATTACTCTGTGCGGCGGCTATCCACCAACTAACTTAAATACTTACGACAAATAAACGGTAGGTGTTTGAATGAAGCTGTTTCTTATGCGAACACAAATCGATTTATCAAGTTTTATCTGCTAGGGTTATGAAAGTGTTTGGCTGAGTAGATCGCATCTCAATTTGACCTTTCCAGGCTCTGAAGAAGGCGAAACCGCCGAAACGTCAGCAATTGTGTTCTAATAAATTCTATATTAACAACCTCGTTGTCTGCTTATTGATGAAAAACATTGAATTATCAGCAAATAGTTTTGGCGAGATGGCATCGCCTTTCCTAACCCCTCTTTTGATGTCTATGTTAATACCGTTATAGAATTAGATATTTGAAAAGCATAAACATCAGAACCAATAGGGTCAACAATGTTTTTCTTCAGCTGCGAACCGCACAAAAGTTATCACGGTCTTTCCTTGGGAAAGCTATGTGTTTATCTTTTTTCTCCTTTTAAAAAAGCTAGAGAGTACTCTCTTAAGGTCTCGGCACACGAACAGGTGCATATCTTTCTTTGTAACAAAAGGCAGGTGTAAAAAATCTTATCTTGACGAGGCTATAAAAAACCGAAAACTATATCGTCATCACTATGCCGGGCTCATGAGATGATGAAGATCGGACACAAATTCGATCAATAATTTTTGTAAAGCAACGAAAGTAGAGCCTAAAAGATAGGTACATTGAATTTTTTCAATCTCTCTTCTAAAACTTCCAACCTAAAAGGTTAAATATTGCAACATTAGGAAAAAAACCTATACTTTGTTAAAAGACGAAAGAAATCTGATGTTAATTCACCGTGGCCACATATTCTCCAGCACTCTCAGAAACTTTGAATTTTTCGGAAGCGAATCCAAATGCTCCAGCATGGTCGTCATCGACAATCAAGACCGTTGCAGTAGAAGCTGCACCGAGACAGACAGGAATCGGAGCCGACTGAGACGGCGAGTAAGCGCGAACCTTAACTCGCAAACGTGGACAGGATGAATAAATAGCATTTACGGAGGAAATCAATGAAATAAAAGCTATATGTGCCATAGAATCTTCTAAGATAACAATTAGAAGAGTTAAAAACTGTGTCCGTAAAGTGGTTATTTTCAAACATATGTAATAGTGTAAATCTGTACCTGAGATAGTCGCACTAGAAGCTGCTCGTCTTCTTCGTAAACGTCGTTGTTAACTATGGCTATTTTTATTTCTTGCCTAAAAAGATGCATTTTGAGGGTGATTTTGCGAAGTACGTAACAAGTGTTCAAAAATCGGAGACGTTTACGACTTATTGGAATGTTGAGAGATTATGAACCTCATCACTTATATCAGTATCTATTGTTTTCTCATAGAAGACTAGTCAAACGTTAGAGCTGACGAAGAGAACTATTCTCACAGGTGAGCCATACCATCTCGACAACTTGCTTGCGTATCACTTTGACCCTAAACGATGCATCACGCCGATTTGAATGTTTTTGGCACAATAGTACCTCGATGTATACACTGGAAGCCATGTTGAGCTTTTTTAATCAGGTTATAAGTTGCGAGCATTAGGATCCTTCTGCACTTAACATTATTGGGTAATGGGTGCTTTTCATGCAGTTCATTCGATATCACGAGAAATCCAGTCACTAACGGCTCTTGTCCATCGGTTGTCATTCATACGCATTACGTGTCTGGCCCACCATATCTTCGACTGTTTGGCGGACAGAACGGCATCTTTGTTTTTTGATCGCTAACGCAGGTCGGAGCTTCGGATCTTCGGAGGTAAATAATTTTGGCGAGATGTTATCGCCTTATCTAACCCCTCTTTTGACATCAATGTTAATATCGTTGTAAAATGGTGATACCTTGGTTGTGAAATTTTTGTACAACTCACGAACCTTTATGTACTGAGTAGGAAATCCTTGACTATCAAGGGCTTCTATGACTGCTTCTATCTGAATTGAATCAAAGGCCTTCTGTAAATTGATGAAAGTGAGACACAGCCTATACCCGCCGGTGGTCAGTTAATCTTGAGCTGTCTTTCGCAACTCATCGTAGAGGTCGTTTCCTTCCTGAGCAGGGACAAGATTGTTAGAAAAATTTTTTCACTAATGGGTGACGTTTCGGCGATCACACGTTCACCAGAGCTTCGAAAGGTCGAATCGATCACAGTTTACTCTGTCGGACATTTTTAAACTCCACTAGAAAAAGTCAGCACCTTGATTTTAATCGTGTAAGAAACAGGTTCTTTTCATCAAGAGCGGTATCAACAGACTAATGCTGAGAGCGCATTTCCACTATAGAAGTCACGGAGTTGCAGATAATTGACAATGAACAATCACAATTGCTATTGAATATAGAGTTGAACTAAAACAATGCGACGTTACCATGACACGTCTTGACTCTTACGTGATGATATATCCTCTACAAGAGAGAGGAGATGGGAAAAATGGGCACTTTTAATTTTAAATAAACGTATCTGAGCTCGTAGTGAATTTGATTTTAGTGGCTGCAGGCGCCACTGCGACACACACGTGGAATCGATCCCCGCGCCCATGGCCCACCAAACCCTCCATCCCTCCGGGGTCGGCAAATTGGTACCAGACTTGTCTGGGAGGATAGCGGCACTGACTCCGTACATCGGTAGGCCACTCGAGCCATTGTAAAAACCAGACGTGCATTCAATCGCCACCAACGAAACTTAATGATGTCTAATGTATGGCGCATCCCTCAGGGATTGATCAACGCAGGGAGCTTTATCCTTTTTTTTATTTAAAAGGAACTGTTTATATTCATTTATGTTGCCTGACTCGTATCCACATCTACTTCACGGATCTCGGCACTTCGCTCATCTGATTCGTTCTCATCTGATTGTTGTCTTCTTCATTCATGCCATTGAAAACTGGTTGCTCCGATTTTCACCGGGGTCCAGATATGGCTATATTATAGCGTTCGCACTTGGACTGCAGGTAATGAACTGTTCCCAGACAAGTCTCGTACCAATTTTTCGACCCGGGGGGACGAAAGGCTTGGTAGGATCGATGTGGGTGGGATCAACGAGAAATGAAAACTACTGTCACCGATGAATCCTCACCTGCATGAAAGAACTTTGCTTTTGTCATAAGGACAAAATCCTGATTTTCTGGAGCCCATTACTTGCACTTTCTTCCATTTTAATGCCTTAAGGCTCGTTTTTTGAGCATGAAAAGTGTGGCCCAGTGTATCGGTTATGTCTGCAACTGCCACTTTCTGTTGGAATTTTAAAAATTTGGCGACACGTCTTAGAAAACAAATATGCGAATAGGATAGTGGGGAAAAGTCTCTTCCACCAAATCTATGAAGTTCTGAGCTCTTGATATAGCTTTTATGATTGAGAAATTATGGTGCATTTACTGAAAAACCAGATTAGTCGTCAAAGGCTTGAAAAGTACTAGAGAATTATAGAGGTGAAGACTCACTCTTTCACTCCAGGTTTGAAGGTCAGCATTCCTTCGACGGGAATGAAATCTGAGTGCTCTTGAGCGGTGTCAGCGACAGTTCTGAAGAAGGACCTTTTTTCATCCTGGTTTCCCGTGTGGCGTAGCGATTAAAAGCGACACTCAAAATAGCATTTTCATATTATACAAGGTGCTTAATATTAAACGCTGCTCGAGAATCGAAAAAATAGTAAAATTCGGGAAAAAAGCTCGACCTGTAATGCACAGTGACGGTGGAGTTGGGATCGGTGGATCCACGAGCACAGCGCACCTTTAATTTGACCGTCTTTGCATTCTCAAGACATACGTAGTAAGCTGGATCGAATCTGAACGGAACTGATCTTGGAGGACCTAAAACCTTGACTTTCATCCTCCTAAAAAGATTCATAACGCCACTGTATAAGCATTAGAACATTTGTAGTGCTCTCAACATTTTCTAATAGCCTCCATCTTTAAAAAATGAGTGCGTTCATTGGCAGGCAAAATGCTTACTGCTTTCAGCAGCATGCACTCACAACAGTGCTTACTTCGATTTCGTGTTCGCCCCACCACCAAATGAAGGCTTTAGCTGGCACGATCCCGGGTTATGAATTTCCAAGGAATCAAATGTATTTAATACTGTTGCTGCCTGTTTACTGTACTATCCATCAGTTATCCCTCTCCGACTTACATCTTTACTGGTCCCATCTTTTTCATTAAAAAACACTTCTCTTTGTTCCTTTATAGAAGATTCTCTGCAAAGTACTAAAGACAGATTTTTCTTCCACACGTAATTCCAAAGTTGTTGTTGAGGTCAGTACAACATTAGCCATTGCTACTATAATGCTGAGATATTTGCAAAACTCCGGACAGCAGGTGTCTGCGATAGGGAACGAACACGCTATTGTCCTTTCCGGAGAGTAACGCGTTCACCACCACACCATGCGGGTCCTTCGTTTCGCTTGTCTCTTAGTTAGTTTTATCGATCTTTTGCCATCAGCAATTACTCGTCAACGGGATTGATCTGGCGAGCCACAATCACAATCTTAACCTTTTTTTTATTTACTGCCTATTCTTTTTAATGGCAGAGTAGGTTGCGAAATATAACAGAACGATAGAACTAGTTGAGAGATGAGAGAATAGAACGATATAACTAGCTGAGGAAAAGATCGGTAGAAGTAGCTGAGAGACAGGCAAAACGAAGGACCTGTATGGTGAGGTGGTGAACGCGTTACTCCTCGGAAAGGACAATAGCGCGTTCGTTCCCCACAGCAGACACCCGAGGTCCGGAGTTTTGCAAATATCTCAGCATTATAGTAGTTATATTTCGCAAAATAGCCTGCCGTTAAAAAAATAGGCAGTAAATAAAAAGGTTAAGATTATCCATTGCGTCAGATCTTTAGAATGCTAAATATGCTTGGTGATCACCTGGTAGTCTACTGTTTATTGGAGAAAGAATTGCAAAGATGTCAGGCTTCGGGCTATTTCAAAGGGATTTATAGAAACCGTCGAAAAGAACTTTGTGAAAAACTAACTCAAAGCATTTTAAATTTAAGGCGAGTCAGAAATAGCTGCGGGTTCTCGAATAGGAAACTTTGAAATGCAATACATTGGTGGAAACACATGAACATTGGGAGGTACACGTCCGTAGGATAGCGTACTAGCAAAGAATTTTGGTGTTCTAGAAGTAACTAAATATTCTAAAGGACTTCAAGCAGCGGGTTGGTTGTTGGGAAATTCTCAATTGGCAGTTGTCGAAATGATTAAAAAACTGGCAGTCTGTTGTAGAGAGGACCGATGGGTTTGACTAGAGAAGCGACGTTTGCAGACCAATTCGTTCAACTTTTGCAGCGCTGATTGTATAGAAAAAAGTGCACGAGAAAGTTATCAGCACTTAACAGATTTCAAGACAATAATTTCTTGCTGGTATCCTTTCATCAGGACCGGGAAATACTCGTGGAGTAACCAGCCAAAGATCACGAAACTGTCCCGTAATTTCCTTTTTGATAAAAATTATGTTTCGGGCCTCCCAATGGTTTATCACCCTATTGTCGCTATGAGGTGTTCCTAAATTTCGGATTGCGATGCACAGTGGGGATATTCATCCTCTTCATGACACATCACATTTCGATCAAGAAATGGTCGCTTTATGGTGCGTGAAAGAAGCGCAGTCAGACATCATGATGGTGAGCTAAACACTCAAGCAGAACCTATTTATAGAGATTTTTCATTCTTCTATTCTCTTATAAACAATGAACGGCTGTTAATTATAATGAACGCAAGGGTTGAGTAACAATATAAATTCTTAAGTTAGTTCACCGCAGATAACATCAATTATTGCCCTCAGATTGCGCCGTCACCAACTGTCCGTATCTGCCGACAACCTTCTCCGTTACGAAGACTCATGTCTTCTGTGGGAAAGGTTTATATGGAAAAATGGTGTTTTTTCAGATTTCGGTAGCGCTTCTCTAACTGTGATTTAGTGAAATTCCAATTGTCTTCTACAGAACAGCGTCTAGTTTTGATCTTATGGAACAAAGCGGACACAATCTCCACAATGCCACTGCATGGCTAAGTCTAAAACCACTGCAGATTAATTATTACAGACAGTAGTATACGAAAAGTGCTTAGGGGAGATGCAAGTCGAAAGTACAGCATAAAAAGTGATGAAAAGTGCAGAAAGCGCTCGATGTTGACCAATCTTCTGCGGATAAGCGATCGAGACTCGGTTCGTAGCATCGCAGGTGTGATAAAATGAATTGGTCTACCGTTGCATTAAGCCAGTATTTTTGTTCTAGTACCAATGTCGACGACGGATCGATGGAGGGCTTTGCTTATCCGAGAAGCGAGATCGAAACAAAGGCTACGACATCACTATCGACTGCGCTACACGCACGCAAAACAGAGGAAGTCTGTATAGGAAGAAGTCATCATTTTCGAATAAAGCTAGTACAAGTTGGTCACTAATTGCCAATCAATCAATGGAATGTAATTATAGATGTTACCCACAAAATGTCGAAGAAGCAAGAGTTGACTGCTCACTGAATTTCTTCAGGATGTTACATGAAAATTTGCACGGAACAACCATCTCACCAAAATGGGTGCGAGGTTCGGGATATGGTGGTGGACGACAGCCCGTTTTGCAGTAAAATTATTAATTAGCGAGAAAAAAGCCAAACAATGCAATAATAGCTATGTTACACTGCACTACATCTAATGATTATGGTCGACTACCAGAATCTTCTAGCGATTCAGATATTATTCATGATTTCAGCATTCACTCACTCAACGACGACCACGTCCTGCTTTTGCGTTAGCGGCTTGATCAGTTTTTGGGCTTTCTTCTTTAGCATAGTTTTCGTGATATCACCTTGACGGGTCAATAGACGAGTGGCCTGAATTCGATTTAAACAATCTACGGGTTTCAAAAAGACAATGCTTCATGAAGGGTCCTGCGTGGGACCACACAGCTTGATTACAGGTTTCTCTGGACCATGTGTAAACTGAAAGTTCTAGACAAGTCCTGTGGCAATTTGCCGACTTCTTTAGAATGATGATGCTTCATCAGCCTGCATAGAAGTTGAACCAGTAGGTATAGAACGTATGTTGCACATAATGATGCTTACCACTGTTCTTGGCAACTCCATTTTTTAAATTAATGCATGCCAATATTTTTAGCTTTTTCAAAATTTTTTTTCATTGAAAACAATAAGGTCACATCGAAAATGCCTTGCATGGCCTTATCATTCGATCGGTCATTCAATGGTTGCCTGATCAATCCGACCAGTGCTTTGCTACAGTAGGTTGAAGTTTGAATTTTTCTTCTTAAGTTGTTTAACACTCAGCTATTAAATTTGTCTAAATTTTGCAAAAGGCTAAAATTTCAGACATTTAAATGTAGTGCTCTCTCCGTTGTTCCGCAACTGTTTACTTTTAATCAAAACTTTGTTTGTTATTTTTATAGACCTCTTGAAAACCTTAGCGTAATGAATTTGAGTGAGTTTTAGCTTACTTGAATTCGATAGAATGCTCGACTCTTCTTCTGCTTGTTCACAGCGCGCTCCAATGCCAACTTTTCCAATTCCTCTATAGAGACGTCAGGATGTTCGGCACTGTGGAGTGGAAGTTATTAGGGAAATCTTCTAGTTGAAACCGTTCTACACTCTGTCAAAGAATATACCGAAGGTTCGTGAAGATTTCGATGTATTCTTTTCGGTGCTCTTCGTAGGCAATCACAGCTCTACCAGTTTTTGAGGTTATCAGCATTCTAGAAAAGTATTTTGAAGTTTCATTTCAAGCCGAATAAAGCATAAGGCATGGAAGTGAAAGTACAAAGACGTTTCATATAGTTATTTATCAATATCAATTACCATCTCTATCATACTAAGCAAGTTTTAAAGAATTATATATCCCACAGCGTTCTGTGTAAACGTTTGTAGCACGTTTCCCACTTCTATTTTACTTGACCCGATATCACATGCTGTCTGAAACGCAACAATTCTCTCATTCGATTCGCCTCCTTGCATCCATCATCCACGAAGGTCTTGGGATTTTTGTGCGGATTTGCAACTCACGTGAGAACCTTATCTTCTTCGTGAATGCCGTTGAATGCAGATCGGTCTGACTATCCCTAGCATTTTCGAATAGCCGTGCTAGGACGTTCACCACATAGATTGGAGCGGTGAGCTGATCCCAGATAAGTCTGATAGAAATTTGCGGGCGCCGGAGTCATGAAAGGCTCCAGAAACCCGAGACGCGAGATTTTACCAGCGACCATGGTGCATTGTGGAGCACCTCTTACCACTACGCTACACATTTATGATCAATAAGGGAATCTTTATAAGGAGTCTACTCTTTCCCTTGATTAATGCGGCGATATGTTGTTCGTTGCACAGGCAATAATATGGTGAGCGTTCTTTCGACATTGACAAGCTAACAACACGTTGATGAATAAGCTTACTCGCCTAGCGTCTCGACGTCTTCGTCTTCCTCAGAGCCGATGATCCGAGTCGATGTCCACAGGTAGTTCTACACTCGATCTGATGTCATTGTTGTTGTAGAAAGTCGGATCTTCTTTAGCGGAGCACCGCTCCAGTGAGGCAACCTTGCCGGGCCATCCTCTTTTACACAGGACGGTTGTTGTTGATAACGATTTATTAAAATACGAAGATTGTTTCCAGTTAGTAAGGTACTAAGATTTCTCTGCACTGGGCATCTCGGACCATACGAGGTCGTTTCAATGCGTTCTGCACATAGAGGAAAAACTATCTTAAAGCGTAGAGGTGTCAGAAAGCGTGTAGTGGAAACATATACTGATCAGCTCCACTCCCCGTAGTAACTCCCACGTCCGACTTTTAACCTCGGCATTGATTGAACAACTCTTTCTACTTCTGTTCAGCAAACACGAAGTGCTATTTTATTTCTTTATTTACATACAAGCTGACGCTTCGGTGGTTTTCGCCTTTCTCAGAGCCTGGAAGCGTCAAGTTGACAGCAATCTATTTGGCCAAACACCTCTATAACCAAACAGAGAAAACTCTAAACCAAGCTTTCAATCACATTTAAAACAGCTCTGCACATTGACCGCTTCCTGTGACTCTTCCACTGAGTATGGTGTAAAGACCAACCGCACAGAATTCACATGGAAGTGTAATGTACCCTCCCATCAGAATAACAGGCTTATATACTGTCCCATATCACGCGTGATAATGAGGTATTCTTCCCTGCGGTCCATTTTCGGATTTCTGGAATTGATCCAGAATGCCTCGAGAGTTTTGCTCGCTTGTGCTCTTGATTCCTGCGCGAGAATCGTGACACGTACTTCAAAGTCCTCCCCGCTATGTCTCTGGGTTCTATGCGTGCCCAGTGGGGTATTTGGTTGACGTTTGCCGGCTAGGTCTTCTTTTATGAGGACACAGAGTGGTCTACCCGTTTCTCCAAAGTATTCGTCTCCGCACCCTTACAGGAGATCAGATAAACTGTACCCGAGCTGATGCAATCGCCATATCTAAAATTAGGGCAAATTATTCAATTTTGCGTTGCACATAGATGGTCATACAGGCGGTTACGAACTAGCTGGCGCCTAAGATTACTCGGTGGCATTTCAACTACGTTTACCGAAATCTCTAGACCCGCCCTTCTTAAGCAAGGTTTCATAGCTGAGCTCCCTCAACTAAAAACTGACTTACCAACATGTCCCGTCTTGTACTTGCTTATAAAAACCCATATGTTAGCATTCAGTGGTGATCTTGCGTCTATCGATCCATCGTTATTCAAGGTTTTAGACCTATCATTAACTGCGTAGACGGGCCAACGGACAGGATAACATGGTTTTTAACCGTAATATTTAACCAGTTGTTGAAACACATTCCAGCCCATCCTACATATACCCAGATGTTTCTGGATCGTCTACGTACTGCGCAGCTCAGCAGCGCGTACGTGAAGGAGTCCTTCGACGTTATCGCCCTTTATACAAACGTGTCGAATAACTCCGCAATGCAAGCCATATTCGAACTCCTTCTACAACGCGAAAGAGAAATAAACATGTATGGCTTCAAGATAGAGCACTTGATGGCACTCTTAAAAGAATGCTTTAGCTGTTCAATCTTCAGTTGGTCCGAAAAGTACTGCGCTCAAATAAGAGAGTTGGCAATGGAACAACGACTGGCTCCAAGCCTTGCCATTGCATTTATGTCTGAGGTGGAAGCACCCGTGACTGATCTCGGGCCGCTACTCTACTGTAGGTATGTAGACGACTGCTTTGTCCTTTGCTCAACACAAGAGGAAATGGACAAATGCTTCGAATTGTTAAACGTACAGTCAGATTATATCAAGTTCACCCGAGAAAAGCCGAAAGAAAAATGGCTTCCATTTTTGAACGTACAAATTCACCTATCAGAAAATGGCTACATTACAAAGTGGTACCGAAAACAAAGTAGTGAAAGCATCTTGGTTCATTACCTCTCCTCTCACCCCTCTCACACGAAAAGGGCGCTTATAAGAAACATGTTTCGAACAGCAACCAACGTGTGCACGGGAAGAGAGCAGAGAGAGGAGTCCCGGAACTTGGCACGGCAAATAGCCATTTCTAATGGCTACGAAACTGTAGCTCAGGATAGGTGTAGAGGAAATCGTAGCCCTCCAAACGACAACTCTAGCGATGGAAGGGTCCCGTTTATCCTATCCTTCATCTCAAATGATATAAGTACAGCTATAAAACGCTGCTTAAGAAGGGCGGGCTTAGAGAATACGGTGAGCGTAGTTGAAATACCACCGAGTAATCTTAAGCGCCAGCTACTTCGTAACCGCCTACATGACCGTCTATGTGCAACTCAAAATTGCATAATTTGACCCAGTGGTAGAGACGGTGATTGCATGAGCTCGGGTATAGTTTATCTGATCTCCTGTAAGACGTGCGGTGACGAATACATTAGCGAAACGGGCAGACCCCTCTGTGTCCGGATAAAAAACCACCTAGCCGGCAAGCATAGACCAAATACCCCGCTAGGCACGCATAGGACCCAGAGACATAACGGAGATGACTTTGAAGTATGTGTCACCATCCTCGCACACGAATCAAGAACACAAGCGCGCAAAACTCTCGAGGCATTCTGGATTAATTCCAGAAATCCGAAAATGAACCGCAGGGAAGAATGCCTCATTATCACGCGTGATATAGGGCAGTATATAAAACTGCTTTTCTGATATGAGGGGCACATTATACTTCCATGTGATTTCTGTGTGGTTGGTCTCTACGTGACATACCTAGTGGAAACCTAATAGAAAGCGGTGAGTGTGCAAAGCTGTGTTCAAAGTGATTGAGATCTTGGTTTGGGGTTTCTTTGTTTGGTTATGGAGGCGTCTGGCCGAGTAGTTTGCTATCAACTTGACAATTCCAGGCTCTGAGGAAGGCGAAATCCGTCGAAACGTCAGCTTCATCGTAAACAAAGAATAATAACACCTCGCGTTTGCTCAACAAAAATACGAAGAAAATTACTTGATCAATGCCGAGGTTAATAGAAAGTCGGTCGTGGCAGTCTGGTATCAATTTGCTAACCCCGGTGGGATAGAAGGTTTGATGAGCCACTGACACGAGAATCGATTCCACGTGTGTGTTGCAGGGTGCCTCTGACCACTGCGCGACACGCGTCCTTCCTCATGGCAGGTTATGATGTGAAATACAACTACAGTGATGCTAAGATATATGCCCAACTCCGAACCGCAGGTGTATGCGGAGGGATCAAACCTCGTTATCACCATTTCCGGGTCTAGCGTACTCATCACCACAGCATGCGTGTCCATCGTTTCGCCTTTCTCGGGAGGTGGGGGCATTAATCCTTTGACAACAAAGCATGTTCTACTTCTTCGACTGCATTTCGACTTTACCACACAAAACTGCAGCTTTTAAGCAGCAGATCTTTACCTAAGGTCACTACGATTCCCGTGACAATATATTAACCAGCTGGCAAATGGTGAAAACCTAGGAAATGCCGAATACTGAGAAAGACATTGACTCAAACAATTGACCACAAAGTCTGAAATCAATGAAGGCTTCGTTTAGAGATTGCACACGATTTCTTCCGTCTGCTTTCCATATTCTTCACTGGTGGCAATACCTTCTTTCCGAAGGCAGATCCCATATAGAATGTGAGAATCACATGTGGTTTGTATTCTCCGGCTGAAAGATAATTGATTGCTCGACGTGTTTCTTCAACAAACAGACACGAGGTTGTTATTATAGAATTTATTAGGGTACAATTTGACGTTTCGGCGGTTTCGCCTTCTTCAGAGCCTGGAAAGGTCAAATTGGGATGCGATCTGCTCAGCCAAACACTTTCATAACCCCAGCAGATAAAACTTAACAAATAAATTTGCATTCGTATAAGAAACAGCTTCATTTAAACACCTACCGTTTACTTGATGTAAGTATTTAAGTTAGTTGATGGATAGCAGCCGCATATAGTAATACATGGGCGATAACTGTGTCTGTGGCAGGCCATTAGATTAGTCTGAGGTATGGTGCCAGGTCACGTGTGATGACAAGAACCTCCTCCTCGCGGTTCATTTTTGAATTTTTGGAAGTGATCCAAAACGCTTCAAGAGTTTTACGCACTGAAGTTTTCTATTCGTGCGTGAGGATAGTGACTCCTACTTCAAGATCTCCATAGTGTTTCTCCATCCTATGCGCGCCTACTGGAGTGTTTGGTTTTAATTTAGATTAACCGACTAGGTGTTCTTTTACGCGGGCGTAGAGCGACCTACTCGTT